TGGGAGCGCAGGGATATGCTCCACCCGCCGCCCACCCCGCCGGTGCTCGAGCCTGGGAGTGGGGTTGGGTCAGGGGGTCCTGTCCCTCTCCACCTGTCTGGCCCCAGAAGAGTGCAAGATGGGCAGAGTGAGACACGTCCCTGCGCTCCGACCCCACACCGCAGCAGCAGCAGTGGGCAGTAGGCAGAGCAGGGCAAACACTGGGGCCAGAGCAGAGCAGGGGCTGGGTGGAGGCTGGGTGCCGGGTGGATGACCCATAGCCCACCCAGCCCCGCCCATGGCTCAGCCCCTGTCCTAAAGTGGATCTGAAGTGGGTGGACAAAATGTCCAGGCCACGGAGCTGCCAGATCCAGCTCACGGCCCAGCCCCTTGCCGGCCTCACCCCCGCACCGTGCAGAGCAGCTGGCTGCAGGGGCCCTGTGTTTCTCTGAGCACCACGAGCTAGGGGAGGGGGAGGGACTTCATTCACTGCCCCGCCTCCAGCACAATCTCGCAGCTCCCATTGGCCGGCTTCCTGCCTCTGCGGTCATGCAGTACGCGAAGCGCCTATACAGCACATGGCCACTGCAGCCTCTGCCCCACCTAACCCAAACCCTCTGTGCCCCTGCTCCTGCACCCAGGCCTCCTCCTAGACTCTGCACCCCAATTCCATGCCCCAGGTCACAACCCAGATCCTTGTGTAACCCGCACCTGCAGGCTGTGGTTCACTGCCCCATGGAGGGCACTTAGCCCCCTGACAGAGGGAGGAGGAGTCTGAGCCGCAGCCTGAGCGGAGAGCCAGCTGTATTTTAGCTCAAGCTGTAGCGGCTCTGGCGCTAAGCTCCAGAGGTCCCAGGCTGGGTTCCATCTGTCGGCGCTACGCCTGCACCCCTCCGGCACTTCCCCCTGGTCACAGCCCCCTCACGGACCCTGCACCCTCCTCCAGCTCAGCATCCTCTCTTGCACCCACACCCCTCCTAATGCTGCCCCCCAATCACCTGCACCCTCTCCTATGCCCCTGCCCAGGCCACATGCCCCTCCTTCAGGACAGAATCCCCTTCTACGCCCATACCCCCTCCAGCACCTCACGTCCCAATCCCCCGCCCCAGACCACAACCCCCTCCTTCACCCAAACTCCCTCCCAGAGCCTGCACCCCCTGCAACGGTAGTTTGAGTTAGGAGCTTTAATTCGAACTACCTAGTCCGGGCCGCGTGTAGCCACGGGCAGGGAGTTCGAACTACGGGGCATTTAAAAATGGCGGCTCCCGGGAACATGCAAATAAAGCCTGGGATATTTAAATTCTGGGCTTCGTTTGCAAGTTCGAATGCCGACATTAGCCACCCTAGTTCGAACTAGGGGGCTAGCGTAGACAGACCCTTACAGCCTGAGCTCGGACACTCCCCAGCCCTCTAGCGGGGCTCTCACTCTTTGCGTAAGGCGGGCCAGTCCCGTCCGTGCCTCTCGGTGCATCGCTGACCAATAGTTCTGTTTTCTCGCTTGCTGGTAACATCGCAAGAGCACACTTCCCAGTCTGTGAGCAAGGGGGCTGGGTCCGGGGTCTCTGTGCTCTTCTCTGAGTGCTTGTTCCTGTTGATTCCAATCAGGTGTGTGCACACCACACACACCAACCAACATCAGAAACTCTGTCCGCTAGCAACCCCCATTGGGCTGGCTGGGGAGCCCCCTAGATTGGTGCCTTATGGCGTTTTATCTGACCCTGCCAATCCAGCCCCCTCCTTCAGTTCCTTCATACCATCCGTGGCAGTACTGGAACAGTCTCTCGCTTGCAAGCTGCACTTTTCCCTGGGCTGATAGCAGTTAATTAGTTGTATTTCCTGTTCACCTCAGTTGGAGTCTTGTGTCCAGTTCTGGGCACCACGTTTCAGGAAAGATGGAGGAATTGGAGAAGGTCCAGAGAAGAGCAACCAAAATTTGTAAAGATTTTGAAAATATGACCTGTGAGGGAAGACGGAAAGAATCGGGTTTGTTTATGAGGACAAAACAGTTTTCAAGTATCTAAAAGATTGTTACAAGGAGAAAGGAGGAAAAACTGTTCTCCTTAACCTCTGGTGAGAAGACAAGAAGCAATGGGCTTACACTGCAGTAAGGGAGTTAGGAAAATTAACTGTCAGGGGGGTGAAACACTGGAATAAATTGCCTGGGGAGGTTGCAGAATCTCCGTCCCTGGGGATATTTCAGAGCAGGTTGGACAGACGCCTGCCAGGGATGATCTGGAAGGTGCTGGGTCCTGCCATGAGGGCCGGGGACTGGACTTGATGACTCTTGAGGTCCCTTCTAGCTCTAGTGTTCTAGGATTCTATAATGAACTTTCTCTCCTCCAAGTGCTTCAGAATGGCTTCTTTGAGGCCCCATTCCATGATCTTTCTGGGGACTAAGGGGAGGCTGAACAGTCTGCACTTCCCCCGATGATTCTTCTTTTTCAAAATCTGGACTCTACATTTGTCTTTTTCCAATTGTCCGGCAGCTCCCTCGATCGCCACAGGTTCTCAGAGATAACGCCAATGGCTCTGCAGTCACGTCAGCACCCTCGGGTGTGGCGCATCTAGCCCCAGGGACTTGTGCTTGTCTCCCTTCTCTAAATAGCCCGTAACCTGTTCTTCCATAGCAAGGGCTGCCCGCCTCCTCTGTGCTGCCCAGTAGAGCAGTCTGGAGGAGACTTCTCAATTCTCCTTGAAAATGCAAACAGACCAAACACAAAGCCACTTTTCTCTCAGGCCTGTTAAACGCGAGACTCTCATTTTAGCAGGCTTCACACTGTCTGATACCCAGAAAGAAAAAAATCCTTCTCTAATTGCAGATTGTTTTGTGTTGTGTTACATGTACATGGGCTCTTTCCAAGCAAATGCTTCACAATTTGTATGTCAGGTCATTGGACAGAAACACCTCTGTAAACTCCCAGGTCACGTTAATGGCTTGCTTCTAGCACTCAGTACTCCTTTTCATTTCTTGGTGCGTCAGTCTGACTTGTCTTAAAGATCTGCTGAATGCTTAGGTCTGACAGGATCATTAAGAAGATGCTGGCTTCCTTTCCAAATTGCATTATTAAAAAAAAGTGCTTCCCGCTTTATAATTGGGGCTTTGTGTGTCTGCTTCATAGGGGGAAATATGATCATTGCATGTCATGTTACAAAAGAAGTGGGGGTTAGGGTTTGCTCTGATTTTGTTAACTTTCAGGGGGAGTATTAAACGTAGTGAACTATGGTATGTGTACCAGGTAGCCAGCCCTGTGAATTGCCCTGAGTGTCTTGGAAACAGCAGAGTTTCTTTTAACGCTTTCTTCCATGTCACTTGAACAGGCAGAGAAAGGATGAGCTAGAGCAGAGGATGTCTGCACTTCAGGAGAGCCGAAGGGAGCTGATGGTACAGCTTGAAGGACTAATGAAACTGCTCAAGGTAAACACCTTTGTCTCGAAATGCAAAGTCTTTCTCCCTTCCTTCCTTCCTCTCTCCCTTCCTTCCTTGTGCCTGGGCTTTGCTCTCACCCAACTCCTACATCGCCAGTGTCATTACTGCCTCGGTGATCATGTTTGGATAATCTTGTGAACAACAGAGTGGAATTGTAAAAAGCCACTTCCACATTGGGTCTGCGGATTGGGAAGGGTGGTTAATGTGTGATTACGGTCACAAGCTGCTTCCTGCAATAGAGTTGTTACCTTGGCATTGGAAAAAGTTCAGAAAAGGGCAACTGAAATGGTCAGGAGGTTAGAACAGCTGCCTTGTGAAGAGAGATTAAAGTGAAGAAGGAAGAGTTATTTACTTGTCCCCATGACATAAGAACTAGGGGTCACCAAATGAAATTAATAGGTAGCAGGTTTAAAACAAACCAAAGGAAGTTTTTCTTCACGCAGCGCACAGTCAACCTGTGGAACTCCTCGCCAGAAGATGTTGTAAAGGCCAAGAATTTACAGGGTTCAGAAAAGAACTAGAGAAATTCATGGAGGATAGGTCCATCAATGGCCGGACAGGGCTGGTGTTTCTGGCCTCTGTTTGTCAGTCTGGGAATGGGCAACAGGGGAGGCATTCCCTCTGGGACACCTGGCACTGGCCGCTGTTGGCAGACAGGACACTGAGCTAGATGGACCTTTGGTCTGACCCCGTCTGGCTGCTCTTATGTTCTTAATACCCACAGGTTTGAGGAGGAGGAGGAGGGAGAATAGATTTACTGATTGACTAACCAGTCACCTATCAACTACACTTGTCCCTGTGTTACAATGGAATGTTCCAGGCTTAGCCTGAAAACATTTGGAAGCGACAGCTGCTGCATTGCAGACTGTGGCTTCCCGCCTGGCTGGCAGTGAGAGCCAAAAAAAAAGTGTCACGCTAGTTCCCCATTGCCTGCATTAGAACCTGTCTGCTTTAGTGTGAGATTCGTGGTGTTGGCTCTGAGCTAATGTCCCCTTCAGTGTTTGGAGTCTGGGCTGTCTGAGCAGCCAGCATTTTTCCTACAGGCCACTTCCACAGTTGACATCAGCCTGGACATGAAGTTCACCTGCTGTAGAGGAGGGTCGATCAAAGAACATTTATAAAGGGCTTTGAAGATTAAAGCTTCTATCTACGAAATCACAGTCTGGGATTTTGAGCCGGTTAATACGTATGTGCACATTAAGCCCGTTATGAGAAGGGCCAACAATAACGATGAGTGATGTGGAACGGTTCCCAAGCGCAGAAAGGATGAAAGCCTGAGCCTGTTTGGTTAGACAAGAGCTGACACGGGGGGTATGCTGGAGATCTATTAAACTTTGAATCACACAGAGCACAGGACGTGGGGAGTTCACCACTTCATACAAAGAAGAACCGGGGGCACCTAGTGAATGTCTGTCAGGGATGGTCTAGGCAGTATTTGGTCCTGCCATGGGGGCAGGGGACTGGACTCGATGACTCTCGAGGTCCCTTCCAGTCCTAGTATTCTATGATTCTGTCATCCCTAGTGGTAGCACCTACCGGTGTGCACAAGGCACTGTCCCTACCACCATCCTCAAGAAGTTTAATCTAGCTTGACAAAGAGGTTAAGAGGTGGCTTCCTCACAGTCTGCAAGTCACTTCATGTGGAAGATATTTGATAATAGGCTTGTCAGTCTCCCAGACAGCCATTAACAAGCTTCCAGGGCTGGAAGTTAAAGCTTGACAAACGCAGACTGGAAACAAGGCGTGCGTTTTCACTGGGAGAGCAGTTAACCACTGGCACAATTTCAAAGGGTCTTGGTGGACTCTGCATCACGTACAGTTTTAAAATCGTAAGTGGACGTTTTTCAAAAAGGTAGGCCGCATTCAAAGGCATTATTTTGGAGACGCTGTGTGGCAGCAATGTTCTACTGGAGGGCAGAGTAGATGGACCACAATGGTCCCATATGCCCTGGGAATAGATGACCCCCAAAAGTGGCAGTGGTGACTACTAATGCCACAGAATGGCTCACCATTTTTCTGGGCTTAGGTATGACTTAATGGCTTTCAGTGTTCTCGCTGCTTTCTGGTGTACGGGGCAAATTCTCTGAAAATGCGTTGGCCTTGTCAAAGCAATCTAGACTGTTGCTGAACTGTGCTAGCCCAGCAGGTACCTGAACAGGCATTTCTTCCACTCCGTGAAGAGAATGTCATTTTCTCTTGCCCTGTTCAAGCATTACACGTACCGCAGGGAGCGCCCGGTTTCCCTGCACATTGAACCCTTCCCGCTAGCGCTCAGTTCACTTGGCCTGCCCTCTTCTCCTTCCATTGCTCTGCTTTGGTGTCTGACATGGTAACAACTTGCCTTTTCTAGCTTGATCCGGACAGGTCGCTGTGGGCCAGTGATGGGCGGCGGCGTTCTGACAAAGACTGAAAGTGCCACAGCGCCGTTAAGCTGGTCTGTCCCGACAGGTCCATGGCTAACATTTATGGACTCTGAGAGGGATTAGCTGTGTCCTGCTTAGATGACAGGTTGCAGGCTCCACGGCGTGCAGGTGCCAAACAGACCAGTGGTGGATCGCCTGAGTCCAGGGGAGACGCTGAGGGTTGGAAGGGATTTTGGGGAGGGAAGGGATCACTCTGAGATCTGCTTCAATGCATTCAACCTCCATAAGAAGTGGGCTGTGCCCACAAAAGCTCATGGTATTATTTATGTTTCTGTTAGTCTCGAAGGCAGTGGCGCCCGCGGGTGCCGTGGCGCCCGCTGGGACATTTATGTGCACCCGCCTAGCACCGCCCCTGGGAGCACGGCGCATGCGCAGCCCCTGCCCCTGGGTACGTGGCGCATGTGCAGCCCCACCCCCGTGCGGCCCAACAGCCCCGTGCGGCGCCCGCCACCCAAAAAGATTGGGGACCACTGCTCTAAGGTGCTACAGGATAAGTGCTGGTTATTTAGTTACAGACTAAAAGGGCTACCCCTCTGAGACGTCCCATAGCAAGGTGCACATTATAGGCGTGGACAAATGGCATCTTAGCTTTCTCCTCACGGCAACTGTGTCTTTGTTCAGGGTGCATCTACAGACGTTTCTGCAATTTACCATCTGCTTGTTCTTCCGTTTCTTCTGCTGGGTGTGTTTCCTTTAACATGATGATTAATAAATCTTTGTTTCTCTTTTCACCTTTTTCTGTTGCCGACGTTTATAGGAAGAAGAGCAAAAGCAGGCAGTAAGTTGATTTCAGTGTGTGGTTAATATAACTTGGGGAGAGGGGTGCTGCATGAAAACACAACTGTTGTCCTGTTGGGATTGTATGCAAATGAGCGTGCATTACTTTTTCCTTGTGGCTAGCATAAAGTCGCTGATAGGAGGCCTTTCCCGGTTTTCAAGTTCCAAAGCAGAACTCCTCAGTTCCCAGGCAGCATGTTCTTACTATAGTGCTGTGCGCTTCTTCCCTCCCCTTGGAGACTCAGTTGAGTGCCGTGCCTTGCCGACCCACCAGCGAGAGTATTTTTGTTTTCTTCGCAAAGCGCCTGCTGAAGCAGATTGGAAAGGCAGATTCTCACCTCGCTGTATTCCATGCCCTGAGGTTTCTCCGCAGTGTTTGATAGCTTTCTTACCTCTTGGAATAACCTGGAATTTGCCTGATTTCCATGTATAGGTCCATGCCTGAAAACTGATTTTGATCCTCTCAGCATTGCTTCATGCCATGTAGCCTCGATGTCGCCTCGCTGGACTCGTCCTTTTACACTCATTGCAAACAGACTGTGCAGACCGTTAGGAGACGCGATTGCCTTTGCTTTGCTAGTCTTTTCACTTCCACTCCAGCTAAAATGTAACTCCGGTGTTAGTTTTGTGAGGCACTCCAGAGGGAGCCCTTTTTCTCTTTTAAGGAACAGCAGCTCACCCCAGCTGCTCTTGTCTGTGCATCTGGCCTTCTGAACTTTAACCCCATGTTCACTGGGGTGGTTTATCTGGCACAGATACTGTACGCAGCTTTAAAATACTCAGAGAACTGACTTTTGCAGGGTGATGTACCTTTGGGCACAGCTTGTATCGGTGAACCTCTGAGTCAGCTGCATGTGCTGGGGTTGGCCCCGCTTGAGCTGAAGTTCGATCCTCTCTAGATCCAGCCACAGCGTCCAATACGAAGTCCTATCCCTGGCATTCTGCCAACAAGCTGTCCCCTTAGGAATGGGCGAGTTGGCCCCAAACAGGCCTGTGCAGAATATTTCTTGGGGAAAGAAGAACCCCAAGACATGCAGACAAGGTCTGAACTCCTCCCCCCGTCCCCCGTGCACGCGGAACATTGCCATGTCCTGTTCGCAGACTCGGGATAACTGTCCGGAAGAGACATTTCCACGGACGTGTAGCACAGTGTACGCTTGTTTGCCCAGCACCGCAGCTTCCTTCCTGGCCATTGTTACTTGGCTTGCCTCCGTGGGAGGGAGGGGTTGTGTGCTCACTCCAGTTACATGTGGCCAGCTGGTTTAGCAGACCTTGATTTCACTGTCCTGTGCGGTATTTGTACCAGTTCGATAAATATTTAGCACCTGCTACATGAGCAACAACTTTGCCAAGTTCACGTACCAAAGGGAATTTGTAAACTAAAGGTGGAAGGATGCACGCTCTGCTCATCAGCTGGGCGGGCCGGATCCTGCCCCCAGGCCTGAGTGTGCCCAGCCCTGGTGCAGAGTCTCTGGTTCGGGCCTCACCTCTTGCAGGAGGCATAACGCTCCAGGCTGCCTGTCTCTACTAGCATTATGGAAACTCTTTGTAGTATGAAAATAAAAACAAACGAAGAGACTCCCCGTTTGTCTTTCCTTCTGTCTGACGTACACAGATCCTGAGCTGCCAGTGTTTGGGAGGGGGAATTTGGGAGGCAGGGCAGGACATTACGTCACTGCATCGCCCCAGTTGACAGGACATTACGTCACTGCATCGCCCCAGTGCTTTGGAATGTAGCGTTTCTGAGGCAACACGGCTACGAACCAGCAATAACCTAACTTAGACAACAAAGGTCACGTTAGTAATTTGCATTAGATGCATCTGAGTGCTGGGCCTGACTTGCAGGTTGCAGCGCTTTCATCTGCCATGCCAAGATGCAGCCTGAAGCCCTGCCATTTCCAGCATGCGCTGCTTGCCTGACTTGCAGGTTGCAGCGCTTTCATCTGCCCTGCCATTTCCAGCATGCGCTGCTCTGCTCTCCTCAGAGCCGCTGAAACGCGGGCGCTGCAGCACCGTCTCCCAGGAGCAGTCGTTCTCGGGAAGAGGGGGTGGGCAGGGTGCTTCTCCGCACTGACGGCCAGAGGAAAGGGACGCTTTGGTTCTTCGGGCAGAATCCCCTGAGCCATATTGGCTTCTCTGCTACTTGGACACATTTCCTGTCATCCTTTATTCCAAGCACAACACTAGAGGATAGAAGGCCTCAGGGACGCTGCCATCTTGAAATCTCCTCCGCTGCAGCAAATAAGTTTAAATTCGTTTCAGGCACTTAATTGACCTGGAGCTGCTCTGCCAGTTTTGTAGGTTTTACTGTCACAATGGGTTTGTCGCCTGGCTTGGGTCCTTTGTAAGGCTCTCTCAGACAGGAAGACTGTCACGTGCACACAATCAACTGAAAAGGCAGAGAAGTGTTTCCCGACAGCTTCGAGCTGTAATTACCTTAGGTAGCATTTGTCATAAAACTAGGTCAAAAGCTGCCAGCCAGAAGTGAAGCTGGCTGTGTCCCTTTAAGAGGTAGCAATCGCGGCTTAGAAGCTTATGCAAAGCGACCATTCCACAGGGCTGTCTGGAATCAGGTGCCTCTGTACCCAGTGATACTTTGCCCTGCATGCGCTCCAAATAGAGTCTGAAACAGGCATGACTTTGTTCACGTTCATGTTTTTTCAGCCTTTTCCCTCACTGAGAACTGCCCAATGCCAAGTTTCAGCTTCCAACTATCATTTTAACACAGCTCCGTACAAAAGGAGTGTGGCTAGAATCGTTTTAGTCTTGGAACTCAAAAATAGCTGGAGAGACTGCTCAGATTTTGAAACCAGATTCCCCTTCCAAAAGAGATCCAGAGAAGACATTTTACTTCTAAGCAGTGATTCTTAGGAGGGTATTATTGTATGTAAAAACAGGACTAGACTTGAAACGGATTCAGAACCTCCACTCTAGAAGTCACCTCTGTGCAAAGTCCCAGGGGTGAAATAGTTCTGCCGTGGATCATTTATGGAGAGTTCCGAGCTGGTTGTGCTGAAAGGGGGTCTCATACTCAGAGAAGTGGAAAATTATGAGATTTGTTTTACCTTAAAAGTATTATTTATTCTTCCCGTTTGATTCGAATACAGTAATTCCTCATTTAACACTATAGATCTGTTTCCAAAAATGATCGTGTTAAGTGAAAACGTGCTATGCGATGTCAATTTTCCCACTGAAAATAATGGAAAAGGTGGGGGGTGCATTTCAAGCGGGGATGTCTGTTGGGACCGGGACATAAGGTTTGGGGAGAAAGGGGATTGGGTTACAGCAGGGAGGGGAGGTGTTTGGCTCTGGGGGAGGGAAGGGAAGGAGAGGGGAGGGGGATTGGGTTGGGAGTATGCCCCTGTGATGGGTCTGCCGGGACCTGCACTGTGTCCAGCGAGGGGGGGTCACCGGGGAACAGTGCGGCGAGCAGCGAACCCTCCACCGCTTTGCAGGGAGGCGGGGGGAAGCCCTGCGCAGCCGCCGGCGACGGGCCAGCTGGGGAAACCCAGCCACCGTCCTGCAAGCGGGGACAGAGGAGAGAGGGCAAAGCGTCCAGCAAGGGGGAGTCAGCGGGGAACGGAGCGGCGAACCCTCCGCCACTTTGCAGGGAGGCAGGGGAAGGCCGGCGCAGCCGCCAGCAACAGGCCAGCTGGGGAAATCATCTTATTCCGGGGACGGTCGTGTAATTCAAAAAACATTCCCTACAAAAAAAATCGTGGTATCGCGAAAACGTGTCAAGCGGGCACGTGTTAAATGAGGAATTACTGTAATTTCAAAACACACAATAGCAGCAGTCATCTTTGGAAAAGGGTTTTGTATGTTTCTGTATGTTATCGCTCACTTGTTCCTCTCTCAAAATGTGTGTATACAGTGAAACAGGTCAGGAAGAATTGGGATAGCCCTTTGGCAGGTAGACTCGCAAATTCCCCTTCTTTTCACTTCCAAAACAAAATGGTCGTTAACATGATCATATCAAATAAAATTATAAAAATAAAGCCCACTGTCCCCATCCTACTACTGGTGGGACCTCCCTGGTCTGGCACCCTGGGGACCTGAGCTGTCCTGGGGGGGGGGAGATCAGTGCTTCCCTGCTGGCTGCCCTCTCCCGGGCTCCCCACCCGTCTTTCAGGGGACTGCTTGGTCACTGCCGGCCCCGCTGCTGCCGAGTGCTCCCCAGGGCTCCCAGCTGGGGCCACCGGCCCTGCTGCACCCGGGGTTACCCAGACACCCTGCTCCGCTGGAGATTCCGGCCGCCTGCCTCTGCCAGCACCTGATCATCCTGGGGGTTCCCCAGCGGAGACTGCCTGGTCACCCCGGCCCTGTTGCCACTGGGGCGTTTTTGAGGTTCCTGGCCAGAGTAGCCCGGCCGCAGACAGCCCAGCTGCATGTGGCCCACTGACGCGGGGGGTTCCTGGGCTGGGGTGGGATCTCCCAGCCACTGCCTGCCCCACTAACACCAGGGGTTCCCCAGCTGGGGATGGGGCTCCCCAGCTACCTTGCTCCACTGAGGCTAGGTGTTCCCCAGCCAGGGTAGGGAGGGCTCCCCAACCCCTGCGTTGCTCCCACTTCGGGGCCCTGCCGGACCATGGATGTTGCTGGACCAGACACTTTTACAGATTTACCTCCCAAATCTGGGACTATCAGGCTGTTGGTTTTCAGAAGATTTGTAGTAATTTGAAACCTCCACAGTGAGTACCTAGGACAGTATGGCTGGAGAGGCGGGAGGGACTGCTGAGTTGAAACAGCTCTGCTCGACCTGCCGAAATCCTCTTGCTGACAGCCCCGTAGCAGTACGTGTTGTCGTACTGGAAGAGCAGTTCGTGTACTCCGTGCACCGGTGCAGTAGAAGAGTTCCTGCTCCTTCCATCTCTCTCTCTGGCTGCGTGCTTCAGGCCCACAAGTACATGCACAAAACAACACTTGCTCCGTGGTGAGGTAATGGATATTTGGGAATGGAACCTCTGTAGGGTAGGGTGTCGGCGAAGGAGACTGATACTG